TATAACATGATACAATTGAAATAAATATCATATCACATATTAAATATTGAGATAGTCAATTAAGGTACCTCAATAGGGAAGTACCCTAAGGACAATGAGATTCATTACCAAATTGATACAATATGTTATTAACATCATATAATGAGGTTCTTATCAATTTCATATCATTTGGACTTCATTCACTTTTCATGTCATTTAACCATGTCAGCAACTACTCATGACAATATGACAAGTCAATACCAAGAAGTACAACAAGATAGAATATCATACCACTACTCTTATAAATGATATTGGTAACGTTTCTGAGTGATAGAAATCAATATCTATATAAATGGGATATCTGTCAAGCTAGTGGTCCAATTGATCAAAGGTAACATTCTTACATGTCATAAATGGTAAGAATCACTTCCAATTCATTACTATCGTGTTATAATCATCTAATACTATCATAATATCAATTTAGGAATGATTTCAATATCATCTTAGACAGTTGTCATATGGCAAAGTCACTACCTTAGTGAACTATCCATGTCATTAAGAAATGTCAAAAATCAAATATTTCAATCATATATTCATATAAACATCAATTAGAGTCAATAATATCAGTTTCATGATATATAATCAATAATTGGTATTATGGCAATATTTCTATTGAGATTAGACATTGCAACATTTCCCAAATTGATAATATAGGATATAAAACCATGATACCAATTATTTGTCGATAAAATGCATATATATACGATATTATCAAATAAAATATATGGGTCCCTATTGAAAGTGTTTACCTGGTAAATAGTAAGCGTAACTTCCCCTACTCTCATCCTAATTGGTTATCTCCCTAAATATATGATAGATTTCAATTATTTCAATTACATATCATAAAATACGATAATTAGACATGTATCAATGAGTGGAATTAAGTCATGTAAGATATTCATCCTTCAATAACCGATATTGTCAATTTCACACAAGTAGACTTCCTACAGTCTGAATATGGATCAAATAATAATTATTTCAATTATATATGATTATATTTGATATTTACTAAAATATTAACAAGTTTAATAAATTGGTATAGTGTTTCCATAGTATGGCTCAATATCTTGGTCAATTAAGGTAGAATGAGTACAGTATACTAAGGATATCATATATTATACTTCCAACACTTCTACAATGTGAATATCATCATTATACATCATATATATGAGATTAGTGATGATTGTAATAACATTCATATTATAGTACAATAAATGTTGAAAAGTTAATTTTTAGACATGTTGTAACTTATTAAATACACCGATTCAACATGATTAATTCATAATATCATCTATTCATATATATATCTACAATATACTAAAATTTACATTTCAACCCAACTTTGAAATTTTAGACCTACTAGGGTAAATATCTTAATATTTCAGGAAGTGCCTTATTATTTTTGAACGCAATGATATTTTTCAAATTTATTTGCGAATATAGTCAACTCATATTTATATCTACTACATATATTTAATCCAGACCGGCGATCTCCATATTCATAGAGTAATACCGGGAAAACCTAACTTTTATTTTATCAGAGTTGATTATCTCTATAACTACTTTGAGATATGACTGCTTCGTTACAATATAAGCTTTTTATTTATATTTGAATGACATATATGAAATTCAGATACTCAATATTGGCCGTTCGTTAGTCGTCGATGGGTTTTCGTCTAACCCAAACCCAAACCCAAACCAAAATCTTCACTAAGTAATCTCTTAAATAACCCAAATAAATCAACTCTGAATCCTAACCAAACCCACTAGAATTGAATTCAATATGATAATAATAACAATCTGTCAAATTGTCACATTTCAACATATAGATTATATACCATCTCAGTCAGTTTACAAAATATAATACAAGTATCTAATATGAATACACTTCCCTTCATGAGGAGAACAATCTGAGAAAGTTTCATATTCATGGCTCAATATCTTCAAGTCATCTAAGGAACATCTAAGGTAATGAATAGGGAAGTATCTTAATTCCAAAATTAAATTTTACCATCATATCATAATCATTGAACAATGAATTATTTATGCAACAATAATATATTCAATTGTCATATTCATGTCAGTAATCAGTGAAGGTGACACTTCTTCAGCCTTAGTATACACATCTCAATATGTAGACAGTCAATTCCACTGAAACTTGAAATATTACCTATCTAGATGATATAATGATGACTCTTCATAGTTACATGCATGTGTAATTGAATGTTGACACTTTTCATCTTGTTATATTTATAGAGATGGTATCCAACAGAGTCAGTTCACGATATTAAATATTGAAACTCATACTGTATGGCATGTTTGATGTATAGAACGGTTTTTTATTGAATGTAATCGGTTTGAAATAATTTGATGAAATTGACACTGTCTAGTCACCACTACATGACAAATAGACCATAGTTTACATTCCATCTCAGTCATTTCAACGAGTTATTGATTAATTCCACCACCATTATGTTTCTCATACATTGTAGTACAGTTTATATTTCAAGAGTGATTTCTGGCTACTATATATGGTCTTTGATTAAATTTAAAAATAGACTGCCGTTAATTACTGGAATAATAATTCAAAGCTTGTTGATCAAGCTATTGATTGAAATCAAACCGATTATTGAATATTGATCATTGAATTGGTGAATAATCACTCTTGATAATGTTACTTATTCATATTGCATTCAAATCAACCTGATTCAATCTACAAAGGTTGGTAGTTGCACCACTTCGTGGCGAAACTACCCATCCACGATGAATCAACATGTGATTCACTTCCATTCAACTCAATTTGACCGTTATAATCAATAA